GAAATATTGTAGTTATGTAAACAGCTTTACCTGCGACATCTTGGCCTAAATTCTGTTGTAGTGACAATTGTTTCGTCACATTAACTGTTACGTTGAATTTTCTTTGTGTCATTATGACGTCATACACATCTGACGTACATTTAGATTGTTCCTCTCTCAGACACGCTTATAGAGTTGTGATATTTTATTTTCATACAGAGTATACCCAGTATCTGAAAGCAGATTACCCATTACTTTCTACTTGCTTTTATGCGAAATAAAATCTTCAGCATTAGAGAGAGAGAGAGAGAGAGAGAGAGAGAGAGAGAGAGAGAGGGCATAAAGAAACAAATTATTTACGATAGTTCTACCACACCAGCGATGCACCTATATCCGCAGATGATGATATATTATAATATATATAGGTACATGTATTTTAGTGAATTTGCATTCATGAGAAGTACTAGTGATCAAAGGAAATCTACGGATTAAAATATGATTAGGTTTGGATTTTGACCATTTTGGCCCTCTTTGGAATTTTTGGCTTGTCGTTTTATCATTGGTAAAAAAGAACAATTAGTAAATTGGCCATCTTGGAATTAACCCTAGAGGAGATAAATGCGACGGACAAGACAGAATCCTGGCCCCCTGTATCTCCAGTCAGGTGCTCTACCAACTTAGCTATCTGGCCACTGGTGATCAAACCCGTCTGACCGCTACATTCCTCCCTCCTTGAAGGTCTTCGGCCCCCGAAGACACCAATCCAGGCTCTTCCTTGGCAGGTATTTCATCTGCACATCTTGATCACGGCACCAAATGTAAGCAGGAGAGGAGAGGAATGCGACGGACCAGAGCGGGATTCGAACCCGGGCCCACTGAATCTCCAGTCAGGTGGCACCGTGCTCTACCAACTGCATGAGCTATCTGACCACCGAGGATCGAACCCGTCTGACCGCCACAGTTGTATTATTTATATAAATTTAAGAAAAAATTGATCAGTTTTGTGGGTATGTGACATCAGTTATTCGTAATATTAACAATTCCGACATTTCTCACTTTCGAAAAATTTAAATCTGTAACATTTACTTTTGCTTTTAAAGTACATGAACCTAATTTCCATGAAGGCCATGATTCTGAGATTTTTCTTGGTTATCCAAACAAGTACTGCACCAAAGAGAATTCATTTGTGCATTGAATATTGACTTTAATCTCAAGTCCTTAATGCTCATGTGGCAAAAAGAGGATACGTATCATCATTTTTTATATGTCCAAAGTATAAACAAGCCAGAAAGGAATTTCTTGATATTTTTTTATTATTTGATAAAATTCACATTTTAGATACACATGTCTTATTATTGGGGATAGAATTATTAATTTAGATAAGGGGGTTAGATTTTATTTGTACATTGTTACAGTATCAGAATTGGTCATGAATCATGCCATTGTTTATCATTGTTTATACCACTGTGTTGGTCCCACATGTTCTTCTCTGTCTTATGTCTTTAAGTACTATTTACCTGACAAGGTTATGTTCTTAAATTGTTTTTTTTTATGCTTAAAGAATCTATTATCAATTGATATAAGAATGTACTTACAGGAGTTTCAGTGATGTAACCAGTTAATCCATACAGTAATTATTATGACATGACACCTATAGTAAGTGCATGTAGGCCGCCATTGTATGACATCATCAAATAGTTCACTTTGCGCAATAATTTGAATTTGCATTAATGTAAAGCAAGTACAATTAGTTACTGGTTAAATTATAGTTTTAATAACTTAAAAATTATTCATACAATGCCTGTAAATTTGATTCCTCTTTTTATGATTGTTGTCGTTGGTACTATTTGTGTTTGCTCAAGAATATTACCTAGTCACTGATGTCTACTATACTAGTTCCACTACAAGAGATAGACGAAGTGCATTGTTCCTAATTATTGAATTCTTGATTTATTGAGTAAGTAATGCATTCATTTTATTGTACATAGAAAGTATATAGTTAATAGGATAATTTGGTAGTATATAATTGTTTCTAATTGTTAAAATTATAATAACTTATGCCTGTCAGGAATTGTCAGGAAAATGAAGCATTTTGATTGGTTAGTTTCTGGATGCCAAAGCTATATAAGGGAGTGAGCTCCTCAGTTTTGTTAGATAGCTCCACTGGGCATTTGCTTATTTCAAAACCTTATTAGGTATGATGAATTCTGCAAATCAAGATCATAATTTTTATAAAGACAAGTTCTAATTATTAGTCAGTACAAACAATGTTTTTATAACTAGGCAACCTGGAATCCTAACATTTTATAAATTCCTGAAAACAGAATTCCTGACACCCAGATATCCTGACAATATAATTCCTGACAAGTTAATTACTGACAATCTCTCGTAATGTAAATTATTGTTAATCTGCATATATTTACTTCTGATACAGAACTCTTTGTTATAAGAGTCATTCCCCTTTAATTCCCATTATGGCTATAGATACGTAGAACTTTATACTAAGCTATCTCCCACCACTCATGAGACCCTAACAAAATGTATTGTATGTTGATAAGGGGACCAACACAGTTTTGTGCATCAACTGTTGACTTGTCTATAAGTTTGTGATGAGATTTAATAAACAGTTATAAAGAACATATGGAGTTCCTGTGTAAAACATCTACAGTGGAAGTAAATATATATTGCGGTCAGCTTGTTACAATTCATTGAGTGCTGAGGAGAATGTACGTCTTTTCTCTATTGTTCAAACTTTTATTAAACATTCTGGGAGATTCACGTGTTAGTATTAGTATTAATATAAATATATTTATTTATATATGCATGTATATACAAAATTATATGTATGATTCTTTAAAATGCATTGATTTGTAAATTTCACAAATATTTAATATTTTGAATGCGTAATTTAACTGTGACCTAGTTGAATATTTGTAATTTAGCGTTAGTGAGGGGAAATTAAAAAAAAAATAATGTACAAATCAATAATTTCATATCAGAATTATTATTCAATACAAATACACTACAGATAGAATGTGTTTCTTACCACGAGTAACGACTCGTATATAAATACCTGTGTTTATGAGAGAGTGTGAAAACAGACCACAAAAATGTTGGGTAAAATTTTGTGTTCATATCCTGGGGATCAAATAATAACTCTGTCGCCTGTAATGGACCACTCCTTAGAAAAAGACGTTTAGGAGACCAGGCAAAACTTATCACAGGAATGGACAAAGAACTGCGAACGATAGTATTGTTCTCCCGCCTACCTCCAAGTCAATTTTCAGTAACATTTATTCATATCCAAGAATATTTTAAAATGTGATGCTTTAAAGCCCGATCTCAATGAAAAATGTCTTCTACACCCTTATTTAAAGTGCTGGAATTAGGGGTAATTAACTATTTAACACTGGTATTAAAATTATCAGTCAATTACCATTGAACTGTTCTTTGCATTCAACAAAGATTTTACGGTCAAATTGCCATTAGTATTGAATTAAATGGGTGTAAAATGTAGGCGGGAATCGAGAGTTACCGTGCGTAGTTCTTTACATGTTCATGTATTTTACATGTACATATATTCAAACTTTTTGCTGATTACCCTAAAGTTTGCTAAGTTCATTACGTAAGGTCATATATTCTAAAGCTAAAGGTCGCTAGACTTAGAGAAAGTGATTGGAATGAATACATTTAAGTATTTTGTTGACGACCGATCTACTTTGACTCAAGGTCGTATTTTAAAGGTTAAAGAAGTATCGTCCATGTCATCAGTGATAATCAAGGGTTTTAAATGCAAGGGGAGACATATGTATTGTAAAAAAAAAAAAAGAATTTTGAAAATGATTTGAGAATGGTTAATAAATATATTTTTTTTATATATTTTTATTCAAAGCATCTACTTTTTTCCACCGAAGTTTGTAGATGCAAATAAGACCGGGGGGGGGGGGGGCTTAACTTTTACACTTACTTGTTCTTGTTTCTCCGGCTCCCTAATGAGTTCCTGGTGTCACTACATGGAGTTTATTGCATGGGTTATTGAAAGTAGTTATTATAGATTGATAAGTTTATCGGATATTCACTGAGAATCAAAGAAAATTGTAATCATTTAATTCTGAACAACACTCTGGAAATGACTTTACAGCAACAAAAACTGTGAAATTTCAGAACATCGATAAAATGCGTGCGCGTTATCTTTTTATTTATTTTTATCATGATTTATGGACGTACGTATAATATGCAATTTAAAAGTAAAAGGATCTGTTATTGCAACCATGCAGTAATAAATTTCATAAGAATTAGTTTATGAGTGTCCCCTTGCTATGGCCCGGAATGCGGTATTGCACATCAGTTCTGTCGCAGGAGGGATAACAATAGTGTCATGTTACCTACCCTGATAACCGCACAATAGCTATTTCATTTTAAATTTTGTCGAAAATTACAATACCTTTTTTTCTTATCCTGTGGGTCGCCATTTAGATCAATAACTGAATTGTTTACATGTGTTGCATTTTTGTGGGGTTTTTTCAAGGTTTATCTATATATAAAAAAAATACTAGTAACATACAAGCATTTGACGGATTTAAGAAAAAAGACATTAGATGCGCGACTTCATAAATTAAATGAGATCACGCGAAACAAATTGAGACTATTGGCAGATGTGTATTGACGTGAAATTAACAAGGAATACAGTACGTGTCGTTTTTGTTTATTTCCCGGCAACATCAATAGGATCGAAGTACATATGTCATACATGGAAGTCCACTCAACAAAAATGGGGAGTCCGGAATCATCCATGTCATAAGAATTACAATGGGGTCAAAGGGCACTCGATAATATAGCCATCTTACCTGTGCAATCGGTAATATGTTTATATAGGTATATTAATAAACATGCACTGTTTGTGTACGTGTTTATATTCTGATGTTTAAGGACTAACGCCTCCCATGAATGAAGATGTGAAACGAAACTGTATGAATGGAAGATGATGGATTTAGTTCTTATAATGATGATAGTGGATTTCAATGGCTGAAGGGGAGGCTGATTTAGCCAGGGAAAAAACAATGATTGAGAAGAGGGACGCCGGGTCTCCCTCGGGAAGGGAAAGAGAACCCCCAGCCCACGACAGCAGCAGGGATTTGTTTGGAGTTCAGCTTGAGGTTAACTCTTCTAAATTAAGTTCATTTTAAAGAGCGTTTCATGCTTTTCATGCTTAAGGAAATCATATTACATGTAATCCTATTTTGTCATATTTAAAACAATGAACTATAAAATAAGGGGGGGGAGTTTATTTCTCGGATTGTCTGAGATATTCAGATACATAACGTAAAGGAACTTAAATCTGCATAAAATGAAAGGTGGTCATGAGAATTATATTAAGAGTTCGTACAGTCATTTGAGAAACTACATCTGCTGGTTTCCCTTAAAATTGTCCTGACAAAGCTTATAATAAATACACTTCAAACGAAAATTGCATTTATTGATAAACTTTATGGCGGTCTCTATTTCGTAGATGTGGTGATGAAGGGGTGCATTTTAAAATATTAATTAATATTTTGGTCTCAAAAAAGAAATGCATTTGAATGGATTATATTTCAATGTGTACCATACAACCTAGCTTTTACTTTAATTTTGTATAAATCTTTCAACCATAGAGTTCACTTTGACACGACATTCTGTCATGAATTAGTTATGTCATATCTGGATTACCCTGGTATCTGTTGACACTGAAGATATGACTAACGTTTCGTCCATTGATTTCAATAATCTAAGCAATCGAACAGGTGTTCATAAAGAATTTTTCAAAATTAGCTTTTATAGTGAAGGCACTTTCCCTTAAATGTTAACGCTGAAAAACTATGGGAAAAGTGCAAATTCAACTTTGTGCAAGCATATATCAGGCATGGAAAGCGGAAACAAAGATATGATAATTTAAATTAATTTAAGTATGCGCTTTGCACTTATTTCATTTTACCGTGTGGTATTATCCATGCATGTTGGGGGGGGGGGGGTTAGCATCTTCTCCCCTTAGTAAAAGAAGAAAACGCTTCTCATTTCTTTCGAATTCGTGGCTTTTTTTTTTACCTGAATATTAATATATTTCGAAATCTGACAATTAAAAAAATCCGATGAATCTAATATATTTGTATTTCCCGAAAGCAAATCTGGTAAAGTCTCTGAAATAAACTGCCTTTGGTGTGAAGTAATCCGACTGAAAACAAACTGTTAAAAAACTGAAGAAAAAAATACAAAACAAAAAAAAAACACAAATAGAGTCTGATTTTTTAAAACATATTATGCCTTTTGTATTTATTTAAAAAAAAAACATGAGCACTTAAATTAAGAGGGGGGATTTTTTATATTGTTTTATATTTGTAGTGGAAACAGAAATCCCTGATATATATCTAGAGTGACATCCCCTTTTCAGTCTTCAGTAGGAGGAGGTCGAAATACTGTTTCTCGTATTGCATTGCGGGAAAAAAGTACCATGAGCTGCTGGAAGTGGAAAACAAAATCAGATCTAGAAACTGTGCATTTTAAGAGTCGGGAAGATGTCAGAGCCTTTATTGAAGCTTTTAAACAGAATAATCCTGTCACATGTGCAATATTTTGTCACACTCTGCAATGTGATTCTGTGGAGGCCGTTGTTTCATTGGTAGACTAGTTACCTGGATACGAAAAGTTCTGAAGAAGATGGGTGAACATAACGAGCGAAAAGCCTATAGTGTGACAAACATGAACCTGAAAAATTAAATCTCAAATTATATCAAAATTTTCCTTGATATTTCATCTAACATTAAAATATACTTTATGTAAAATCTCTACAATTTGCAAAAATCTCACAAAGATTGAAATTATTTGCTTATGAAATATTGTACACAACTAAAGAAGGCAAAAAGGGTCATTTTCTTATACTATAAAACTATTTTTTGATATGAGTGGGTCTTCGGTCCATATTTTAAAAAGTTAATCCTTGAAGTTTGCATAAAAATATACATTTTTGGTTTCCTAAAATATGGAGCAAAGACCCACTATATCTTAAAAATATACTTTTATGACATATCATTCGTATCTTTTCATTATCTTTTCAAGTCCATTAAGTCAAGGGTCATATCACAAACATGATTTAAATGCCCTTATTCATCAGGACTTGTGTAGTCTAGTGGTTAGCGTGCTAGTCTCGAAAGAAAATGATACTCAGGATTTTTATTGCTAGGGTTCGAACCCCACGAATACCACATTATTTTCACATTATTTTTTAGATAAAAGAATAAATTTTGCCAAGAAAATTTTCCTCAGAAAAGTTTTGTTTATCAAAATTTCATAAATTTCAATAATGAGAACTCTAAATACTGAATTCACAAATTGAACATGATTTTTATATATCTGAAGCTATAGGCTTTCTGCACGCTATGTTCGCCCATCTCCTTTACACGTGAAATACAGAGACTTGTAAACAATAATACAACAATACAGAGATAATGTAATACAACTTGCAAAAACACAAACTTTTTCTCTGTCTTTATTATGCGATAATTGGTCACTGTACACTTTATGAAATCTAAACATTGGAGTCAACTTGCGAATCGGGATATTGCAGCAGCATCACTTGGCAGTAAAATAGTTATTTACATGAGGAATATGTTAAAAAATGAACACTATATTTTACTGAAAATTTTTGACTTTTTTCTATAAAGAATTTGTGGAAAGATTTAACAGAAAGATTGATTCTAAGTTTATTAATTGGGGAGGGGGCATGATTAAATGAAGCTATAAATTTATATGCATGTATAAGTAAATCTAAAGCTTGTATGCAATGCCAATTCAAAGAATTTAGCCAACAAAGAGACAACTTATTTCAATGAGAGAATAAGTTCAGACGTCTTGGTGCTTTTATGATTGGTCTTCACTTTCACATTATCTTTGTTTTATGTCCTATGTAAGAGTCCTATCTAAATGACTAATGCCTGTTAATTACATGTTCATATCTGCAACAGGTGCAGATTAATAACCAAAATAAACATAAGTGGTTACCTGACCAGACAATGGGGAGATATAATTAGACTTCGAAATGATATTTCATATAATTGAACTTCTATATTGCAAACCTGATATTTTGAAGGGAAACTGATCTATGTGTGGCTCAGTCGTCTTTCAAATGATGACTAATCCGTCATCACATGTTGCACTGAGGAACATACCTTGTTTGACAAATGAATAACAATAATTGATTTAATGTGTAGAGATTGTGTTGACATAATGTATAGTAAGCATTACAGGCCATCCCCGTAGGAAGAAATGTATTCTCTTTGTACTTTCCTTATTTTGAACTCTATATATAAGTTAGGTTTAATTGGTCATTTTCACATTTTGTATATTTTGTTTTTATAATACTATAAATCATGTTTTATTTGCGAGAACTTTATATATTGGGATAATTACTTGGTACCTTAAACCATCTGCTTACAAAAATTTTATTCTTGCATATATTTTAAAATTTTCTCATGTAAAAATATTAAAGAACTGTTTTGTGAAGATGAGGTGTCTGACATGTAAATTGGATGATGTTACTGAAGAAAAAATTCAAACCCTTCTCAATGTAAATTATTTTAATAGCATTTTCTGTCTTTTTGGGTGGGGGGGGGGGGGGGGGGTATTTTTAATTTTTGGTTATTTATTTTTTAACAAAACCCATGATTCATTTGATATGTAGATTAGACTCCTTTATCATATTTCAGATGTAATTGAAAGGCACACCATGTGCACAGCTGCCTGGGTTCCACAAAGTAGCTAGCACATAAAAAGAAACAGTGTTTGGAATATGAACTTGTCATGAATATTATATTTTAAGTTTAGTTTTGTTTTCTCGCTCTCATGTAATCTGAAAATCAAAATTTCATCAAGGAAACCCTATATAGATTGGTGATTTCATCTTTTAAAATCATCCCCAAGTATCATGATGTTCACAGATCATCAATAGGTAATTTGACTCCTTGTCATTAACACTGAAGGCCCTAATCTGTTATTTAGTGCTCATTTATTGATTGATGAGGAAATTTTTGTATGCATGGTCAATACATATTCCTTTCTTCCTAGCTTTCATTTGAAAAAGCTGTTGCAGTATTTGTTTAAATATACTTCTTTCTCTTTACTCGTGCAATAATTTTCACTGTTAGCACAGCTGTTTATTTTATTATTCAGGTGACATTCCGTCTTCTGGAAGCTGAGAAGAGAAAACTCCAAGTTCTACAGAAAGAGTTGGCTCAGTATGATGAAAAAGAACCTCAGGGTTTACTGAAAGTATGGACAAATGTAGTATTATTTTTCATACATTTTCACACATAATACTGATATTTTAAGTATTGATTTTTTTCTGGTCACCAATAAGTACTTAAAAGTGCATTTCCTAACATCTTAATGGGGTATGATTTTGTTGCAAATTAAAATATTTTATTTTATAAATAATTTTAAATTTTAATATAGTTTTTTAAATTTTTTTGTTATTCCAACATGCATTCAAGAGATATAAGTCTTGAAGCTAACATACATTCTGCTTTGAAGCAGTACTAAATAAAGAGTTACCTTTCTTTATTTGTGTATTTTCAGAGGCGAGAAGAAAAGCAGCTTGAAAACAATATAAAGTTTGTTTATTTCTTATCTAATAATTTAGAAGAATAATTTTTTTTGTTTATAAGCACATTTTGAACAAAACAATTTAACCAAAAATTATAACTTTCTGTTCATCATTAATATTATGGAAATTTAACGAACATACTGAATAAATCTTATCAGATTGTATTCTGATTTTGATAATACTTATTGTTAAATTTTGACATAGTAAAGTAACTGAATTCCAAATTCAGGTAGCAAAATTCTTCTATCTATCTTTGAAGCATAGATAAATTCCACCTTCTATCCTTGTAGCCTAGATAAATTCTACCTTATTCTGTCCTTGTAGCCGGATACAGCATCAGTACAACCAGTTAGAGCAGGAATACAGGATAGCAGCTATGGGGGTCCTGAGACACAAAGGGCACGTCAGAAGGGTAGGTGTCTCAAAATCAGAGGGGTACATCAGAAAGGGACTTGTCGCAAAATCAGAGGGGTGGGGTGGGGGGGGATTTAAGACTGAGCAGGTGTATTATCAGTTGTAAGGATACATTATTCCAAGGAGAATTGCATTGCAATTGCCTTTTGTGTATCCTTAAATAGATCAGAAAGCAGCTGAATTCTATATACCATGATAAACAGTTGAGCTTAGATAATCTAAAATTGTCTAGATTTATAAAATGTGCAGATTACTGAAACATATGTAGATTCTCTACCAAACAGTTATTGTCTGGAAGGTAATTAAAGCTTAAAGAGGCTGGACTCATTGTTGTTCAAAAAACAAATGTTGTGACTACAAGAAAGAATCTCTATGGTTACCAAGAGATGCTGTCTTAATATGCACCCTCTGAAAGGGGGCAACTTGTGACTTTGATGGAACTTTTTTCTGTAGGTTGTCTAATTAGTATGGTTGTTAAAGATCTCTGCAGAGTACTAAGATACATTTTTGTTATATTCTGTGAGATAGTTTTCTTAATTAGTGGATAGGTATGTTTAGGCAATTACGTGTTCATCACAAGAAGACGATTTTTCCCCATTAATCAATATTTACTCAAAAGTATACAATTATATGGAGAGATTCGTTTTATGCCAAAAGACATAGACAATGGAGCTAGGTCCTAATTTGGTTCTTCTGTACTTTTTCCTTTGAAGAGGAGAAAAAAATTCAGGAAATTTTAATCTTCTTTGTCCTCTTTTACCCAACCCCCCAAAAAACCCACACCTGTTAATCTCTATCGCACTCAGATAATCAGCTGAACTCATTGAGTCACAAAGATAATCATCAGCTTTGTGAAGAAAAAAAAATAAACAACAGCAAAAGTTTGTCTCAGATTGGGACACAGTTTTGAACACAAACAAAAAAGCAATCGTGGAACTGTGCGTCATCTGAGCAAGCACAAATGTTTTGTTTCCAAAATATCAACTTTTTGTTTTTTAGCAGATGAAGGTATTGCAGAACTTATTTGATTTTTTTTTTGTTTTGTTTGTTTGTTAACTGAGAAATGTATTAAAAGTGAGCAAAAAACTCTTTAAGACTTGGACATTAGCTTTTGATTTAAAGTACATAATTGGATTATATATAGGCAAAAGGAATTGCCCCTATATATATACATTTTGCAAATTTAAGGTACAAGGTACATCAATATAGTTAGATAAGGTATATATATAATTACATTATTTGACAGGTTTATAACATTGATGAGTTGTATTGAAAATTAAACAAAATAGTTTGAAAATTTTTTTTGAAGTGCTGAGGAAGCCAATTAGCTATTACTGAAAATCTTACTTTTATGTACTTTAGGAAATAAAAGACCTCAAATTAATACTTAACATTTTAAGTAAGAATTAGTAGAAAAATCAAATTAATTTTTCCCTAAACATACTGATATTCACATGTACTTAGGACAATAAAAGGAGCATATTTAAATAGGATTACTAATATTAACCAATAATTTAATAATTTCTGCTCACACCAAATTATTTTCAGTCCAAAGTTTCTTTGCAAGTTTACATCTAGCCACGAAGTGCTTTGATAATATTTGAACTTGTTCAAATGCTATCAATCTATTTGCTATGAACTATTGACAATTAAATGAGAAATTCTTCTGTGAAAGGTAGGACAATATTGACCCTGCATTCTAAATCTGCACATCTATAAATCCAAATAACGAATTCCCAAGGTCTGTATGGTGACGTTAATAGTCCACTGTTTGTCTTTCCCGTGATTAAGGTTATATACTTAAAGTAGATTTGACACCTCGATCCTTGAAGTGTGAGAAATACAGGTACTATTCTCATCTATTGGAGGAAAACTGTAAAAATAAAATGCTATATTTGGAATTAATATTATAAACAGTGCAGTTGGTTTGCCTTTCAAACAAATCTTTGTTTCAGACATGCATAGTTTATTAAATTACTTCCAGTAAAGTAATTTAAGAATATATGCCTTTAAAATTATGATAATGTTAACTCAATGAATTAACAATATATTTGGCTTCATATTTTATCTTCCCAGCAATTTAAAGTCCCTACTCGTTACATGGCTTGTGTGTATTATCTTAAAGTTATTATGATATTAAGATAAAGTCAAGTTACCATTAATGTTTGAGCCATTGGTATAGAGGTTAGAGGCCTAGGAATTCATTGACTACTTAAATATTACTGATCAGAAAAATAATGAAGCTAATTATTGATTGTCATGGAAGTCCATGATGGATATTTCCTTCAGGACCCATGCTGATAATTTACATGACCATCTCCCCATAATAATAGGTCCTGGCCATAATCCTGTAATACCCCTCCTATGGCTTTATGTGATTGATCACAGATCAATTAGCAGTTCCTTTTGTTCAAACCTGGGGAAGGCAGGGCTTGTTTTTTTCAAATTGTACTATAGATAGGGATCAGCCCGTACCCAACTGTGTGCAAGACTGTGTATAGAAACCATGAAATGTGCTGAATTTGTCTTGTCGTTACTTTTTACTTGCTTGTAAGGGTGACACCCACAGTGTTAACTCTTATGTCCCTTTAAATTTTCAAATATTGGTGGGAGAGAGTGTTCAATATTTTCTGATGTATTTTGGATAATGTGTGTGTGTTGACTTAATAGACTTGATAAAACACTTGAAAACCACAATAAATAAATTTGCGGCAGCTGGGTTGTTCACCTTCCGTGGAACCAATGTTCGATTCTAAAACTAATCTTGCTGTCTGTTACGATGGTGGATTAATTTAACTTTGATTCTTGAATGAAGATGCTCTATGTTCATTATGAGTTAATTCAGACTGCCTAGGAGATGAGGTCCAGCCTCGTTTGTTGTTAAATTCTAAAGGGATGGATTTGTGTTTGGAAGGAGTGCCATGCCTTCACCTTACTCACAGACAATTGATGTGCTATCTTTCTCAGGTATATAATTTTCTTGGAAATTGAAATGGATCTTGATTTTAGAGGGGAATTACAAAGGCTTTTATGTTTTATCTAGAAAAATAACTTGTATGTTATTCATTTTCCAGTTTATTTATGCATCTACTTTAATACCATCTAAAATCACTTAAGCTTAAGCATAATGTCTGGATCAAGAATTTCCGTGATTTTGTTTTCTGAGAAAAACAGAAGTAGTGTCAGCATTTGTTTATCATGAATGACTAGAAAACATTCTTTTCGATCCACAGTTAGTCATTAGCTGCAGTTAAATTGAAGCTAATTTTATTCTATTTACCTGTTGTCAATGAAATCCAGTTTCTCAGGTGAAAATCTGGACCCATTTCATCAATGTCGTCAATGATTAATGATAAACATTTCAGCAATATTTGAATTGTTTATTTGTTTGCCGTACCGTATTGTATCGGTGTTAGATTTGTCACCCTCTCTCTAATACAGTCACTGATAGCAGCATTCTTCTGCCTGGGTAACAGTTGACTCCCATACTAACATATGATGTCATCAAATGTTAAAAGTACCCTTATACCTGCTTGTCAGCTTTTGAATTGGTTGTGATTACTGATAGCAAGGGCCCTTTTCTGTTTATAATTGGAATGTTTTGTATTTTTTCTCAGACCTAATGTGTTTTTTTTTTTTGGTCCAAAGTAGGTTTGTGTAGTATAGTGAAAATTTTAAATGTTTTACTTTTGCTTTCATATGCGATTCCCATTAGTTTATGTATATATTGCAAGTAAGTACTTATTCATTATAAGATGTTTTCTCTCTCTCTCTCTCTAGATATTTTGACCAAAGTTTGTAGTTACAATAAAGAAATTATTTATTTATGTAAACACTGAGCTGGACTCTCATTGACTTTCTGGGATTCTGATTTTAGATGTATCTGAAGCTTATAAATCAATCATTGTATTGGAGAAAAACACAACAAAATATTTTGGGATGGTTAACGAGGTCGTGAATTTTTCTTGAACTAGAGTCAAAAGATGGCTGATCTTGATAATTTATCTTTTATTATGGGTAAGACTGAATGTACTATGGCTTAGATCCAGCATTAGGTTTCCCAATACTTCATACATTGACTAGAAAAGCCATATGCTGCTTGGGATTTCTGAATGTTGTTAAAGAAGATAACTGGAAAAGTTTAAATGTTATTATGTTGACTTAAAAAGAGATTTAAGTCTATGTGTGACCTCAGAAAAATTATTAGAATTGTCCAAGACTGATTTAACATTGATTCAATCTAGTGTGATTAAATCTAATGTACTGGGCCAATGTTTGAAGAACTGACTACTGACAGCGTAGAAGTCTCAAGAAATTTCATCAAATATCATCTAATGCGCACATACTTATGATATAGGAGTGATTCACAAATGAAAACTTGTAATATGATGCTGCAATGCCCATACTTCTATGTCTTGAAGTGTTTTGATTTTTAATTGATAAACAATTACATAACACTGAAAAACAGGATTTTTTTCTGTTGAATGAAGGCTTGGTTGTAATAGGCTTGGCAATAAGTAGTTGTTGCTTCTTAAAAAAATTGGCTCACTGGTATCTTTCTGTTTGTGTTTTGACCACTGTACATTGTAGTGTCATTGTTCTTAACTGATTGTAACATTGTAGATGCATTATTTTTGCAGATTGTTCTAAGCTGTCAGGAAATAACCCATATAATCATGATAAATGTCCATTAGCCTCAATGCACTGAGAAGTAATGTGCCGTGATGTGTTTGTTGTCAGTCATTTCTCATCACTTCAGACTGCAAAACAATCAAAAATATGTTTACTTACGTGCAGTTTTCAAATTTATGCTGATAGATTTAAGAAATGCTGTTGAAATATGGCAATATTGTGCCAAAATTACTCTGAAGATGACTTTTAAGACTACAGTTTTAGAAATATTTCTTTCAAGAACATTGTGCTCTGCATTGCCTTTTCTTTCAGTGGTTGCTGGGGATTTTATTCAGTGCTGACGGGTGGCAGATATAATTAGGTAGCTCCTCCCAGAGTGATGGGAATCAAACACTTCAGTGTCATGTTTGATCTAGAATTATCAGTCCAGTTACAAGTTCAGATATGTCCCACAATTGACAACTCCTGTGACAATATTGACTCATTTTGAAGGAATTTGAAACCCAAACAAATCATTTTAAAAATTTCTAAGCTAATTCTTTGCCATGGAGAACAGTGTGCTTCCATGCACAAAGCAATCATAATCCTTCATTGATGACGACCAACTTCTTGTTAGGTTGATTTAAATAAAGGCTTGATTTTCCTTTTGTGAAGATTTTTTCTCAAAATTTGTTTTGAAAGGTTACCATATAATTTATTCACATTTTTTGGTGAAAAACTCCCCGATTCCCATCTTATCGCCCCGTTAGAATCCAGATAAATTGAGAGAGAACTAATACGTGAGAATTTTGTGGACACTTCAACAGTGACAGGTAAATGCCCGTTATTGCCCTGAGAATTTAATATTGTTATTTGCATAAAAATTTCTTTAATGTGGACATTACCATTTGGGACATTGATTTAATCATAAAATTTTTAAAATGTAATTGCACATAGAATTGTGGTATGAAAAGACACTAGTAAAGTTGCCTACTGGGCATATTAAATCTTTCGTTAAAGCAGAAGAATGTTCAGGTAACATCCATTTCACTATAACACTGAGTGAAAAGACCAACAAGGCTGTTTGTTTTTCAAACCAATAGGTCTTGGAAGAAAAACAATATTTTGACTAAATGGAGAACAGATGTTTAGTGTCCTTTACGAATATTGTATTGGATTACCGCATTGGAAATAGTACTGTTTATTTGAAGCGTTTCTAACATAGCATGTTGCTAAAAGTCAATTCTCTGCTGTTTATTTCTTTAATCAAGCCAGAAAGGCAAAGTGTTGGACAAATGACTGATGCCAAGTAGTTCCTTTGAATGTATGAAATGGAAAAAGAAAGAAAAATTTCAGTGTTTCAACAAATGCCTACATGTATTACGAATCACAGATGATATGTGCATTTGTACACAACTGAACAAAGGGAAAAACGCAGTTGTTACATAGCTGAGTGACAGTTTTATGCAGTCCCCCGATCCAATCCAATGACCTGTGTAATTTGGGCTGTCAGAGCCCTCCATTCAGTGTGTTATAACTGTCACCTGCCTTGTGAAGAGTTCCCTCTACACCATTGTTTCATGGTTCCTTTCTCTTTGGAATAATTTCTGTTCTTTAGGTCAATGACAAAAAAGCAAAATTTTACCTTGGATTCCGTGCAGAATTTCATTCAAGGATACATGAACTTGTCTCTTTGTATAGGTAGGAATGCCATTTGTTATACTTTTAGTATGAAAGGTTTGAAACTGTGTCATGTCAGCATTGGTAGGATATTACTGGTGCATTGTTAATTGTCTTCATAAAATGCTATCAAATGCAAAATATGAACACAAGACACTGGAATTATATGCAGATGGTTATAGGTGTGGTTGGACTAAGGGCAACCAAGAATAATGTCATTTATGGATTTGTTTTGGCACTTGAGGAGTTTAAACATAAATTAAAATTTGTAATAGATGGTAATTAACCACTAAAAATTAATTAAGTCAGATCAGCATATTTTAATGAATCAATTGAAACACTTTATCATGCAGATGGAGTTATTCCCCTTGTTGTGCATCTTGTAATGTGTATTGATTGCAAAATGCATCATCATTATAAATTGTGTATAAAGTTTCTGTTGCACTCATGGCAAATGAAAAGAAACTGAAGTACAAGTACGGAATGTGTTGTATTGGGAAAGATATATTTTGTTTTCTCTGCCCCTGTTTAAGGCAGGTGAGACCATGTATCAAATTTGAAATTTCTAATTTTGTTATAATGAAAATTTGTCAAAATTGTCTAATAGTTTGCATAAATTGACTGTTGAAATACATGGATTTGCATGGCTGTGTTGCACCTGGTTTGTTTTATTGAACACAATGTTTCCAGTTGGTTAAAATTTTCAAGTATTGATTTTCAATACTGCTCTCTGGATACTGTATGTCTTTCTTGCTGCAGATATTTAATTTTCAGTAATTGAGCAAGAAGTTTTTACAACAGGGTATTGACACTAAGTAGGGTTTTTATTTGTGACAGTGCATTTTGTATCTATTTTCAGTCCTCGAGGAGTCAGCCAGCAATAGGCCTGAAGCAGACGGCTAAACCTAGGGTAAGTGACAGTACCTATAGACAAGTCATATTACCAGAGTTTTTATATAATATCATGCTTATTTATTGAAATGGGTAGTAGTGCGTTGTTGAAGGGAGAGAGAATTATAAAAAGAAATTATAACACATTAGATATTTGATTTATAGGTCTATTTTAATCTTGCATAATTAGCATCTATCAATTGAATTGAATCTTGGGGGGTAATTGATGATTTTAGCATCCTTTATGATGTAAAAGTTTGCCATTTTAAATTGATAGGATTTGAGGCATCCTGTCCTAGATTCTTTTAAGGAAGCCACTGTAGAGATGTAGCCTTCATTCAAGGCCTAGACTTCATTCAAGGCTTATGTTAATCAACCCACTTTGAAAACACAGAATTCATTAACCTATGTATGGCATCAAGAAATATCAAAAGCAAGAAGGATCAGCTGTAAAATTAGCCTTTTAAATGTACCTTAACTTCTCTTCATGTTTGAAACAGTCAGAGTTTTCAAAGGGGATCTTAATTAGAAATTAATTGGGTAATACTTTCCTAAATATGGAATTTACGGGAAGAATGTTTGAGAATGATTTAATATAGATTTAGGCAGATATTTTTTTTAATTGCATGAATATGATTTTCCTGAACTTTTCTCAGACTTACAAATTATTAAAAAAGATAAAAAGTATAAAACATTTCATATACAAAGAAAATTTGAGCTGCCTGTTATTCTTGAACCATTTACAAGTTGATTTATGATGCTGTCTCTGTCATGCAGGCACAGGAACTTGGTTTCTTGCTACAAAACAATGAAATGTAACATGTTATGTAACCCCTGATCTGACATCAATATAATGAATATTACATAACGTACTGTTGATGAACAAGCAGATAGAACTTTTTCATAAGTGTTCATGGGCGTAAATAATACTGTGCTTCTTTGAAGTTCAAGTGACTTCCGAAGAGCCTTGAGAAGAATTTCCTCCAAAGGGAAAAAAATCTATTTGGTTACAAGGAAAGCACTTCTGTTATTTAAAAAGTGTAAATGGATACTTTTGTCATATTTTTTGAAATTCATAGAATCTATTGTCTTTGTAATATGCAAGTTCAATGATTGATGCACATATTTCTTCAAAATCTTAATTGACATCAACATCCTGTTTGCTGTGTTTAGGAAACAATTTCTGACAATTGTGAGTCACCTGTTACTAGAATTGTCTGTTGCCTCATCAACTTGTTGACTAATCCTATCTGTGATGTAATGCTGGTCAAACATGAATCATTGCTGCTGAGCCAGATCATTATCCATTTGCCAGAAAAACCATTTATAATTCCATCCTGAACCTCCCTGCCTGCAAGTAATGGAACAGTCTATGATTTTCTTATTGGTATCTTATTACCCCCTTTGCTCTAGGGCTAGTCCATTTGTTTTCTTTTTGATTTTTTTTTTCAAAATGGAGAAAGTTTATGCTGGAAGATGATGATTTATAGTTGAATCTGAGACTGAAGGATTTTTATTAATTTGAAAAGGAACGATGTAGAATAATATTGTTTTCCACTGAGGGTAAGGTTAAAATATTTGTTTCACTGACTGAAAATGAAAGAAAATGATTGATTTTTGGTTGATGGAAAAGGTCTGTTTGATGCTATCAAAATATGTTCACTTACAGAAGATAGCTGCTACATCCATCCAATGGCATTTAGGAAAATCCTAGGTTCAGTGCAGAATATTAATAACATTTTTACTGCAGTATTAGGTTTAAGATAGTATAAACCATAGATTTAGAACAAGATGAAATTCATTCATTCAATAAAACAATTCTTACAGGAGAAGTTTTTGGCTACCAGCTACAACATATGGAACTCATTATATATATAAAAATAGAATGGTCAGTCAATCCCATGGGAGACTGTAGTTTATTTCAGGAATAACTCTCCCAATAGATATGTTACAATATTCTTCTCAATAGGTAACAGATGCTCTAGTAACAGCTTAAATATGAATCATAATTGTATACAGGAAGCTGCCTATAGGTGCTATCATATGCACATATACTATATATCAAATGAATTGGAAATTGACAAGGTTTCACCTAACTTGTAAATCTCTCTTGTTTTTCTGACCTGTGTCGTAAGGATAACAACCTGTTTTTTTTTTTTGTTTGTTTGTTTTTTTGTTTTTTGCCATCTTTACAAAGATTTGTAGAATAATAGTGATGTTTTTTGCACATATGTGATATTATATATTTCTGTAGTTTCCTGTACTTCTTGGTATCTACAGGTGTCCAAAAATACTTCACTTTGTATAATCAGATAAGTAAAAGATAAGTATTATCTATGTTGGGAGACCAAACTTTGCAATTCAGTTATGTCACTGTGTTGTAGATATGGATATAGATATTGCACTTTGGGAAGCTACTCGAATCTGGCTTGTAACAAACTGTCACATTGATTCTTTCTGACTTAATGGTAAGAAAATCTTAAGCTCTAGCTGCTTCAGTTTTCTGTCAGTGTTTAATTGAACAGTATCCATTTGCTGATGAAGATTGACTCTGAATAATGTCCCTTTAGGTTGATCTCTGAGGGGTGATAAATGAAATGTTTTGTCCAAAAAATTTGTCTTTTATTATTTTTTGTCAGAATAGGACATTTTTTATGTGTTTTTATGAAGCCTTGTGAACTTTTGTCCTGGGTTATATAGATTGTGTATTATCTTGTAGGCTTATATGGCTTTGGACTGCACTCATGGAATGAAAAATGAGGTTATCATAATAGCATTGTTTAGACATGCAAATTTCTAACATCCTTTCGATCAAACAAAAATAAGGTCTCATTTTGTATGTATAACCTGCACTGTGTTGTAATTGTAGGAACTTAAATTCAGTATATGTAATATATGATCTAATATATCTTAAAGTTTAAAGTATATATGGTTGATTGTACTTGAGACATACACCAACATCAGGGGATGAAAGTGAAACTAACAGATGTTCCCCAAATTGGGCTGTTTTGTATTTCATGGATTACTTTCATACCTATCATATGCACCACCTGTCAACAATGCACTTAAATAGAAGAAAAGATATAAAATATATATAGGAAGCTATGTATTTTAGGAAACTAAAGGTGACCACAGTTAAATTTTTTTATCATGGATCTGTGGTGTTCATGGTATTGTGGGCTTGTGGTATTTGCTTCAATGTAAGAAATGTATGAGGTATTCCAGTTGTGGTCTGTCACATATCTTCTCTTACTACTGTAACAAATCCTATCGCTATAATCAGATAGGTGTGTATAATACAGCGAAAAAATATCCGACACACTAAAGGTCTCCAAAAATTTTACACATTTAACAAAAATAAAAACCCATTTTCAGGTAAATTAGCTCTTCACATGAAAGGATATAGGTTTTCTAAGTAACAAAGTAGGCTGAATTTACAGTTGATAGAGGGTTTGATAAGCTATGGAGTGATGTGATTTGCGTGTAATGTTACAAGTGACAGTTGCCATATGATCTGTATTTTTTTTTCTATCTTTCCACAGCCATCCATCTTTGGAACGATTACAAAAGACAAAAACCCCAAGGACAGGCGACTGGTAAGCGCTCTTATTATAAATTGTAGATATTTTAACAGTACATGTACTTTTATTGATGAAGGAGAGACCAGTTGGATGTATCCTTCTAGCTGAAACCCAAGAATATCAAGAAAAGGAAGCTGTCTGATCTACCAGTATTGTGTGATTATGACATCCTAGTGTGAATAATTTCCAAATGTGATATTGTTAGGCTTATGTTATAGACATATATCAGTTAATGCACAGAGATAGATGTACTTATAAAAGTTATGAAACAATATTACTGAAGGCATCATGTCAGGATCCTCCAAGCTTAAACTCTCAATATTGAGGGGGTTGGGGGGGGGGGGGTTGTAACTGTCTAAGTGAGGCTTGGTGAGGATATTCTGTGTATTACAATGATGGGGATGGGGGGTCTAGCTTCTGTTATATAAGTAGACTAATTAATGTAAAAGTCATTACAGTGTGTTCTTTATATATTATTAACAGTTTCCTTTCAAGCAATTTTGGTTTGAACATATGAGATTCCTCACTTGACTTGTCACTATAAAGTCAGAAATATGATGGATGTCACAGATTTTGTGTGATGAAAAGGATGTACAGAATGGTATAGAGTTAAAATTTTGCAAACATGTCGGGCTTTTTAAATTTTTTGAGTTAGGACAAAAATTCTTTCCTTTGTAATGCTTGTCTGTTGTGTGTGTCAAAGAAAAAGGCCCCAGTAAAGTTCAGCCTTTTGCATGAGTGGTTCAATACCTTATAAAAATCTTCATTATTATGAAGATGACAGTGAGGTGATAATACTATATGGCTAAGGGTCATGTACACAATGTGGGGCACAAACAGAATGAATGAGTCTTTTAAATCTTTAAAAAAAAAGATACCAAATGAGTAGTTTGTTACAATTATGTATATTAATGAGTAAGTATCAAACAACGAAATCTTTTTGGGAGGCTTTTCAACAAGACTGATATTATTGTTTCCAAAAAAATTCCAATCATTGTATGGAGAGCAATGAGTTGAAGGTCAAATAGTTAAAACTGAACATGAACAGTGTGTGGAAGATAACTTGAAAATGTCATAAAAACTCAAAATTACAGATGATATAGGTCGTAAAAAAAATCAGAGCCATTAAACAGCTGGAAGCACATGTGGGGAGATTAAAGTTACCTGAAAATTATCTGTGCCTTTCCGGTTCTGATAATTAAACTTAAAAAATATCCTCCATTTAATGAAGGTGTCTTGACTTTAATGAACTAAAGGGTGATCTGAGTTTTAAGATCGGCCTTGATGCAAAAAATACCTGATTCTGGAAATCAAAGGTATCTCAAAAAAAAAAAAAAAAAAAAAAAAAAAAAAAAACAGAGACAAGCTCTAACCTCTGATAAAAGATTTTTTATTTTATTTTTTTTTATTTTTTTTTTTTAATGAATTTAGCATATGGGATTTTTTTGTTCTTAAAAAATTTCAGGATTCTTTGTTCCAAATTATTTTGAAATAGAAAAAGTCAATAAATAGTGTTATATCTTCCCTACTTAATGAAAATTCCCTACACATGATCGAAATAATTCCTTGTTTTGAATCTGTGGACACGTTTTTTTTTTTTTAAAAAGAAGGAAAATCCTATGATTCCTTAAACAGTTATCAAATCAAAGCCCCTAGCTATTTCATTATTTAAGTAAATATATAGGCTTTAGCACTATCTGCAATTCATGATACTTGTACCAAAAAAAAAAACAACCCCACAAAGTAATAATAATCACCAATCGTGCATTATAGTGCACCAATGCACACTCTGAATTGATTAGAAAGAAATTACTCTTAATACCCTTATTCCAATTCCACCCATCATCTTCTGGCTTTAAAATGAATGTATTCACATTTGGCATTGATATACCAGTAGTTTGAGCAATTAAGTTTGAACTTGAATCGGATGCTGATTCTGTAATCCTGAAACGAGACAGAAAGCAGAAGTCATGGTAAAGGAAAAGCTTGGCAATGCACAGAAAACTGCACCAACTTTTTGCGAAACATAACCCAGGGCTTATACTGAGTGTTTGATATTTTAACCTTACAATTTGTTGATTTACACAGCCAAGATTCCTAAGTAATGTTTTGGGAAATTAATTAAAGGGATGCTCTGTACCTTTGAACCCTTAAGAATTTGTAAAACTAATGTTTACCTTGTTTTTAGTGGGTAGTCACGTTTATTCTTTCCAGATGTGTAAATAATTAGTGGATTTTCTATTTTGAAAGAAGTCGGTACATTGTAAGCTTAATTTTGTTTGGAGGTAATTCCTAAGATTTTTTTTCCCTCCCAATTTGTGTGACTGTCAACAGATTGAAGGCTGTTCACCCTCGTACCATCAGAGTCAATGTTCGCTGTTCTTATTCTCATGCAGTAGGGGTAACGTGATAAACTTATTTACATATAAAATCAGATAATCGTCAGATTGCCAGTAAATAAAAGGAACAGAGCAGCTGCTAAGAGCTTCCTGTATATAAATGTGCCAAAATAATGATGGATGCACATGCAGTTTGGCATAGATGAAAAAGACCCCCTGACCTTGACCTCACAGTTTGGGTGTTTATGGAAAGGAGGAGATATGAAGCTGCCAGGAGCCAGAAGAATTGTTTTCTTTAATTGTGTTTTTGATGCAGTTCCATCCAACTTAAGCTAACCTCTGTTTAGATTCAGATGTTTTCTTCAAACTTGCAGCCCTTATAATCTTTTATCAAATTGAATTTAAATGAAACATGAACAGTAAATAGCCTTTACCAGTGCCAACTACTTAATGGGCTCCATGCATTATTCATCATGTGCTCATAGAATTCAAGGCCTTAAAGACAAAAAAAATAGGTGATAGTGTTACATTTGTATACATACCAAGATGGTTAATCAATATCTTAATGCTACAACTGTGTCTATAGTGTATATATTTACATGAAGAGGGATATAAAGGAGAACATTTAGTGTACAGATACATATTTATGATTAGATGACCTTGCCTGCTTAATGACCCTTTGGAATGTTTTTCTTTCTTTCTTCTTTTTTTATATAGAATATGTCAAAATTTGAATCTATGATTTTCTCCAAAAATATAGAGCACAACCTGAAGTAAAACTTGACCTTGAAGTAGAATAATGGAACCAACTAATGTATAATGACACCTGTTTTGTTGTTGTTGAATGCAATGAATTTGGACTATGCAATAGTATGAGTAATTCAGGAGCTTTTGTTAGGGATGAGTAACTCCAAATAATGTTGATTTTTCTAAATATGCTATGTACGTATGGCATTTGTTAGTTCGACAGTTATGCACCCTTACAAAGGGAGATAATCCCTACTCCACTGGAGATAAGGGGGTTATCTCACTATGAGACAAAATGATGGCTTAAGCTTTGTAATGTTTTTGGTCACAGTTTTGTCAAATTTGGTATTTCCTCCTTTTTTAGAAGTTTTAATTTCTTTGATGTCCTAAATCTATTGGCACATATATCCTGCTGTGTCTTTTAAACAGCTGTTAAATTGTCCTTGAGTTAATTCTCTGGTTGATCTTTTTTTTTCTCCACCATATTGATGAGGAAAACATAATCCCATTCAACTGTTAGTTTTTTTCTTTGATTTCGAGTCCTGTGTCTGTCATCCTGATTAGAATCTCTGATGAAGTCTTAGTTGATACAGACAGGACCAGATTTAATTATTCTGGTGGCCCACTTTTTACAGGTTTCCAGGTCTCTGCCAAGGCCTATTGAGATGAAAGCTTGTCATCTTGGGAAAGTCATATGCTTACTAGAATACATTGATCTGGTTTCTTGACTTGGTGGTGATTATAATGCAGAAACTCGAACAAGGGATGAAAACCTTCATTAAGCCGTACTGTACAGTGCAACAATGCTTTTGAAAATTTTTGCATGGAGGGGAATTTTTTCAAAATTTGTTCAAGATTAGTTACAGATTTAGCAATAACGCATGCAGATTTCTCATGCCCATGTGTTGTATTTTATAAATAAACTAAAGGTCAAGGTGAAGTGGTCCCAATTATAATGTAGGAGTTACTCTCTTTGAATTTCCTGCACAATTTTTTTTCGTTTTAATATACATCTACTTCAGAAATACAAGTTGTTCATAGAGGGGCTATTATGCAATAAGGATTCTTTTTAACCTATTTTCCTGTTAGCTGTCCACCTCTTAAAAGCTTGTATTCATTATCTTAACAATTAACAAACACTTAAAAGCATCTAAAGATGATGAAGCAAAATATAGGGGAACCCAAGATAAATGTATTATTAATAACATGTGATTATTATTGGATACTTTCGGGAATTATCAGAAAGTTTTACTTCCATTTTAAAAAGTTTAACTTCCATTCTGGTCACATGTAAAAAATAAAATTGCAAACTTGAATTTTAACAGAAATTCAAAATTGTATGCAGATATTCACATGTGCAAGTAAGTTACTTTGAAGTTTCGTTCACTTGCAGTGCTGTATAGGTTGAGTTACATTTTTGGATTTAAGAGGGACATACAGATATTGATGGAATAATTCGTGGGTCAATAATTCATTAATGGGCAGTGACAGTGCAGTATTTCTTGTGCGTAGGTTGTTATTGATATGATATATGTTAGTACAAATCTAGATAGAAGCAGTTAGTAATGGGGCTAAATTGATATACTGATCTTTTCTCCTGAGTAAATAATGCCCAGTAGATGCAGCCTTTCACAAACAACGCCACCCACATTTCTAGTAGTGATTGTAAACAATGCAAAATCAGGCATTGTTTACTGTATTACATGTGGGGGCACTTGCTTCTCTGATCATCAGCAGAACTCTTCTGAGAATCTTACTCCACTATTTACTGTCTGAAGAGTCTACTTCATCTTTTTACTTGACTACTTCAATATTTTTCTCGTTCCCACATGCACATAGAGTTAGGGTGGGTTGACTTGTTATTCTAATCCATAGATACACAATGGGAGTTGAGTTCTAATGGTGATATAAATGGAGTTTGCTATTTTT